GGTGCAAGAGGGCCTGCGCCCGCGTGATCCAGCCAGAAAGCCCAAGGCTCTTACCCGCTTGGTGCAATACAAAATTACGCCTAGCGCATGCCCAAGCAGAGACTCTAAGGAGTCTCGTGCGCCCGGCGTGTCCAATCCCGGGCCCAACGTAGGGAAGGCAAAGACCTCCCAAGGTCTCACGCCCAGCGCAATTCAAATTGCGCCCAGCGCCCCCATGGCAAAGACTCCCAAGGAGTCCCCACGCCCAGCGCGACGAGGGTCGCGCTCAGCGTGGAACCGGAACCCCGAAACATGTCACATACTACCAGCGCGCCCGGCGCGATCCATGTCACGCCCGGCGTGGGCCATCCAGAGGCTCCCATCTTCAAGCTCGCTCGGCGCACCCACCTTTGCGCCCGGCAGGCTTGCCCAAATGGAGCCCTCTGATGGTCACGCGCTCAGCGCAAAACTGCGCTCAGCGCGAAGCTCAGCAGCAACTTCACCAAGTTCAAAAATTTCACCCAACCCTGCAAAAACAACTAGAAAACCAGCATGCAATCCATCCAAAAGTCCACATTTTCATCAATCATCAAGAAAAACACTACATTTTCAGCATGCAACCTCAAATCAAAGGAAAACCCAAATTTCTTCAAAAACCTCGAAGCCCCGAAAACTCTATTTTCATCAATCTCAGCCCGAAATCATCTAAACATCAGCCCACAAATGAGTTTATAAACTCACTTTCAGCAAAACACAGCAAAAAACTAGCTTCCCTTATCTCGGTACAAGAATTCCGAGCTTTCGGGAAGAGAAACGGAGAAGAAGATTGAAGGAAAGAAGCTTCGCACGGTTTCAACAAAAAATCCATCCTTCAATCAACACCTTCAATCCGAAGAGAGCACCACCAAGGAACACAATCGGCCACATAAAAAGTGCAAGGAGAAGTGAATGAGTAGAAAAGAGAGTGAGTGAGAGGGAAAAAAAGAAAAGGAGAAGGGGTCTTACAAAATGAAGTATTATATAAAATTTTAATTTTTATAAAAATTTATAAACTTGATTTATACGATAATAATTTTTAATTTGATGTTTAAACTGTTAAAATTGAATGTAGATGCTGAATTACTGAATAAAATATATATATATATATATATATATATATATATATATATGTATATTATTTAGAGAAATTGGATTTGTGTGTACGAAAAGGAGTTGGGTATCGTAATCATTGATTTTAAGGAGTACAGTATAGTTACGCATCCTTGGATGTTATGATTCTGGCAAGATAGCCCGAAAAATGTTGGAAAAATTAAATCATTTTGTCGTTTTATTCGATGTTTGGATGAATCATAGCCCTCCTTAAGACAAAAGAGGTAATCTTTGATTCTTGTAAATCTAATATGAATAGATCTATCATGATTCATATGCGCCTTCAAATTTTCTTTCATTCACAACTCACACGTCACCTATTGCGAGAATTTCGCTCGCATGTAGGACTCCACATACCCTAATATTTGAAATTTTATGGTCAATTGGCCATCAATATGGTACCCATGAATTAAATCTTCAGAATCCCAATGGTTTGAAAATTAAAAATTTTCTAATACTTGGACACCTTTAATGCATAGTAGTTGATAAAATTCAAATACAGTCACATTTGCAATTTATGGGGTACCCAATTTAGATTTTGTAATCTCTTGTACGTTGGGTTTTAATATTCAGACGTTCCTACCTAACATTGGACTTTAAGGATCTTCTTAGTGACAACTATGGATCATTTTGTTTTTTTTGCAAAGAACAATATCTCAGGCTTGCTTCATCCACATGACTCCTCATAATACAAAACCATGTATATGGTCAAAGAAATTAATATCATGCTTTATTCATTTCGCGAGTGAATAATATAATTTTATTTATTTCATATATATATATATAGCTACGCTACAGTTTCCGAAATTTTGTCCGAATCATGGTCCAAAAAATTAAAATATTAATATATTTTAATAAATTTATTATAAAATAATTATTTAATTTAATATTTTATAATTTAAAATATTATTTTATTAATTTCGACATTAAGTTTCGGAGGCTGAATCATTTTTCATATATATATTATATATTCAATTTGTGTATAATCAAATATTTTTTTTTAGAGTTTAATAGTTATGTATTGTTAGTATAATTATTTTTTATCCAATTAATCAATAAAAAATTACAGTTTATATAATTTTGGAGACAATTATTGTAAAAATTAATAAATTTATCATATAAATAAATTGTGATTAAATGATGGAGTAAAATGTCAATGTATTACCATCAAACTTTTTTTTAATAAATTAAATAAAAAAATATTTCTCATCGTAATTTATCTATCATAAGAATGGGTGACATCAGAAGTAGGACTTTACTTTAGGTAAATAAATATCAAATTAAATAGTTTGTTCTGTTAACTCTATACTATATAAAAATGAAATATATAATTTTAATATACCATTTTTTCTTGCATTTTACCCTTATAATTACTTTAAATAATTTATATTCTCTAATTACATACCACATATTATTACTTTTTTGAGTGACCACTCATTAGTACTTAATCTTTATATATTTATTTTGTTTTATTTTATAAATAAAATCCGTAGATGCTCAAAATGTAGGTATACCATTTGTTAATAATATATTGGGCATGATATAGCAAATATAGTATAAAAAGATTCAAGTTATTTACCTAAACTGTAAAATGGTTGATAGCCATGAAATAATCTTATCGAGGAAACTTGCTATTTATGTTTATTTATTTATTTTAGATAAAATACGATGTATTAATCATGTAAAATAATTTTATACTAAATTAAATAACAAACTATCATGGGTTGAATTTGTTAACTTATATAATTATTATCTTAAAAATTATATCAATTATCTTTGGTTCAATTAATTTTATTGATTTTATAAAATAAAATGACAATGTACAAATTTTATCTTTTTTATTTATCATTAAATTGTCATGAAAGTTGTAAAAATAATATATTACTCTTTATCAAAGTTTATATTAAACCATTGAGTGATTACACTTTGTTCATTTATTTAATAAGCCTAATTAAAAGCTTGAGTTTGACTTATTAAAAAAAATTGGTATAAAAAAAAATTGAACCTGAGTTTATCTTATTGAACTCATTTATAACTTAATTAATTTTAGTTTTATAATTTTTTCATAAATTATTTTTTTAACTCTATTAATATAACATTTAATAATTATCTTCATACCAGATAATTATCTACTAATAAAATATATGCTTACTGTGTGATATGTGGGGTTAAAAAATTAAATAATTACATATTCATAATTTAGTAAATAAAAAAAAACTTATTGACTATTACAAAAATGAAATTTCAAAATACTTTAACATCTATTTTGTAAAGGCAAATTGAATTTAAGATACCAAACATGATATAAGATATGTCGAAATTAAGTACAAAGATATGTCGTATGTGGGATCACTAGAATTAAATTTATACATAACCAAAAGAAAATAAATATGCAAAAGAAAGTTCAGTGAAAAGCTGAAAACAATTGAAATGTTATCTTGCATCTGCTGCTCGTGATTCTTCTTCTTTAAACTCTTTGCGAGCTAAGCACCATCCAACCACCGTTCGCCACCATTAACCCATGAAGGCAAATGCCTCACGGTGAGGAGGAGGCGTAGTGCGTTATGTGAAATGCAAAGTGTAAAATGCAGCATCAGAATCACTCCCTCCAATCTTCTCAGAAGCTCTTGCAAGTAGGTTGAAGATGAAGGGAAAAAAATTATTACATCTAATGCAATTATAGGATCTAATGGTTCAAATTGAAAGAAAATATGAACCACCATAATTCACCTATCGTCTTTTACCACCTTAGAATTCATATTTTATAGAGATTCATATTTTTTAGAGTACATTTATCTTCTTTTTCTTGTTTTTGGTACATATGCAGATATGCTGAGGCTGTGATTGGTTGCAAGAAAATTAATAGATGAAAAATAAAATACATAAATAAAAATAAGTAAAAATAAGTAAAATTTAAAATATTATATTTAAAAAATATAAAAGAAATAAAAATATATTATGAAATTGTTTGATTTAAATGAAAAGAAAAAAAAATATAATAAAACTTAAATTAGTAATTTACCTCAACTTAATCAAGATCAACACATCTTAAAAAATTGACCAACAAATGTCAATGTCTTATTCGATTCCCTAACTATTTACTTGATTACAATAAGCTTTGTTCGTGACTATTTAATCGATTATATTAGATTTGGAAGTCTCGGAAAAATAATATTAAACGATTTATAAAATATGTAATTGATTGCAGGAGCAAGACCTCTAGCTGATTACAACTTCCTTTTAATCCATTGAAGTTTCATATCTGCGCTTAGACGGCTCGTGCAGTCGTGCATAAACTGAAACTGAAAAATTAATGAGACCGAAAGTTTACTGATCCTATAATTTGTGATCATGAATACAATGTTCTAATTCTTCTGGCTTATGTCACAGTTCTTATATAGCATTTTTCTTTTTTGCCATGTATCCAGATTCTATCCCTGTTTATATTTTTCATTTGCTTGTTCTGTTTGCATTCTCCTAATGTGTTTGAGATTTAATATTGATGAATGGATTCTAGGGTGCTAAATTTGCACTAGGGGCACATTTTTCTTGTCTTAAGTGAATTTCACACCCATATTCGGTCTATGATTGCGTGGAAAAGAAATCAATGGATCACCACTTTTTTTATTTCTTCTTTCCCCATTTCACTTGTAAAAACAACTTGCCTTTTTTTCCACTACACATACTTCCCCTCTCTCCCACCTATTCCATCTAACAAAGTCTAACAGTCAAGTATAGTATATTTTCATGTCTGGATAGGAGTGTAAAATAAAATGGAATGAGAGTAATACTACCATATGACAAAGAAAGAAAGTTTAATTTACTCAGAAATAAAAAGTAACAAATGAGACAAAGCATACTTAAGAACAAAATTGATTTGGCATAAAACCCTAGGCTAGGATAATACTTTATAAAGTGAAGAAGGGTAGATGATACCTGATTACCAATAACCAACATGAGATCTTTAATGTATGTGTAGTTATAAATATTAAATCATCTCAAAGGAAACAAATAGTACAGGACTCACTACAAAAATAGATAGACCTTCAAAAACGTTTTAAAGGGGCAAAAAGCACAACATTTAGTTTGCCCTCGGGGTTGCCCATTCAACTCTAAGGATGAGATTGTCATAGCCATACCCATTGAGTTTGTTGATAGCTCTCTGAGCATCTTCCCTGTTAACAAAGTTTACAAAGCCAAATCCCCTGCTCATGCCAGTTTTCTGATCAATGGCAACATAAACTCTGCTTACAGGACCAAAAGGACGGAACAGCTCTAGCAAATCAGGCTCTCTTGTGTCCTCAGAGAGGTTAGTTACCCTCACAGAATTCTCATCATTTCTACGCCGCATATCTGATCCAGTAGTCCTCTCTGCACCTGCCCTCAAACCAGGAGGCACATATGCTCCCTTGGTTGCACCAGCAGTGGCTGTTGCAGCATCTGATGCCGCAGGCTTGTCAACGAATCCCTCGGATGGTGGGGCAAGATCCTTGTAAGGACACCTTGAAGTCCAGTGATCACCCTTCTTCCCACAAGTCCTACAGACCATAAGAACAGCACCCTTCTGAAATTGAGCCAATGGGTCTCCAGCAGTCTTTGGTTCCTCTGCTTTGGAGCCTGTTAACAATCACATAGCTATTATATACTGACGATGATAGACCAATCCTAAAATTCTCCAATATAACAATCCTACAATTAACTACTCAAAAGGATATCAAGGCACCTATGCAGCAACATACACCGACGTCAAGTTTAAATATCCACGTTCATGCACAACCAGAGTTAATTGAAAAAATCACTATTTTAGCACCTGTTTAATTCCCTAGTCACCTTTTGGTTTTCAAAACTGATTTCTAAAAACACTTACTCTACACAGCAATCAATTTCTCATAAAAAAATCTATTTAGTTCAGAAAATTGTTTCCAGAACACGTATTTAAAATCCAAAAAGCATGCATAAACAAGTGAGAGACGTTTTCTCATCTTTTTCTCTTTTCATTTCATTCAACCTCTCCCTCAATTCTACATTCTGCTTTGTAATCTTAAAAACTCATTTTCATGCACAGCCATAGTTAATTTTAAAAATCCAGTAATTTAGCACCTGTTTATTCATTCCCTCATCACTTTTTGGTTTTAGAAACTGTTTTTTGAAACAATTTCACACTACCCAGCAATTAACCTCTCATCCAAAAATCTATGAAGTTATGAAAATTGTTTGGAGAACAAGTATTTTAAAACAAAAAGGCATAAACAAGTGAGAGAAGTTTTCTCATCTTTTTCTCTTTTCATCTAATTCAACCTCTCCCTCTGTAGCCACCCTCCATCACCAATCGGAGTCAACCATTTTAGTTACAATCCAAAAAAACAGTTTCCGGAAACAGAAATCAAACACACCCACCCTTACTCTCCAAAAATAGAGACACTCGTGCAAAATGTGGGTATCACAAACTTTGCCCTCTGAAAATAAAAATCTAATCGCAGTTTATGCATTGTCCAATACCACAAATAAACAGCATTCAGCACTGACACAATCACAATCCACAGGCACATGAAATACAACCATTCAATCAATCTAACCAACTCAATTAATTAAGCACGTGACTATTAACAATTAACAACGAAACACGAAACAAAAACGAAAAACCTATATTCCCCAGAAAGGAGAAAAACGAATTAAAAAGAGAGAGTGAGAAAGAACCAAGAGGCTTGGGGCGCTCGAGGAGAATCTCTTCCGTGGAGACCATGGTGAGGCGGCTGCCGACGTCTTCGTGGACGGCGTCACCGAACTTAGGCCATGAGCGGCGCTCGACGGCGCGTTTGCTGAGGCGCGCGTTGGCGAGTTTGCGAGTGCGCGTGGTGGTGGTGATCTTGATCTTGTTTCCGTCCTCGTCGAACTTGTACTCGATAACCTTCTTTATGCCGTTCTCGTCGGGGCCTATGACCTGGCGCGGCGGCAGGAGGAAGTCGAGATCCTCGCCGTCGTCCTCCTCCAGCTCGCCCCAGCGGAGCTTGGCGGGTTCCCCTTGATGCGCCATCGTAATCCCTAATCAACGCTTCTTCTCTTTCGCTTCTCACACTCTGTCACTACACACCGATTGTGAACGATGCCAAACCTGGTTTCGATTTAGGTCTCGTCTTCTCAAGTAATACAGGCCTTGGGCTTTTTAAATCAGGCCCAATTTTCAACACCATGTAGGCCCAGATACAAAACTTGCTACATATATATTTATATTATGCACCGATAAGTTTATTTATTTAGTTTGAATTGTATATATTTTTTATATTATTAATTAATTAGAAATTAAATAAAAAAATTATGGTAAATATTTTACATAATATGATAATAATTAAAAAGAAATAATTTTTTTTTAAAATCTATAGCAACTGGGTTTTTAATATATTGTTATGTTGAACTAAATTGAATTGAGTTATATATTCTACTTTTTTTAATAAAATTATCAAATTATTAAGATTAATAAATAAAAATGAAAAGAAATTTGTGTGTAACAAATATATATATGATTTAAGTTTGAGAAATTCTGTAATAAGATTAGTTAAAGTTATAATAGAATTTATAATTTTATTTGCAAGTTTGACTTCAAGGTGGGATTAACTTTGATTTTCAAAGGTAATAACCTTTTGCACCCTCATGTACATGTATGAATATCAAGGGTGACACATGATAGAACGAAATAAAATAATGACAAAAATATTATACAAATTTGCAAGTTAAAAATAATAATGCCACAAGCAAAGAATTCAAAGGTTAAGATCAAACTCCTTTACCTTAAAGAAGCTTTTCACAAGATGAAATGAAAAAAATAATTTTTTGTACAAATTTTTCGTAAGGAGGAAAAACTTGAGATAAAGTTAAAAGAGAAATAGAAAAAGATAATCAAAGTAAAATGGAGTAGGAAACTCATAAACTAAGTGATTTACCTTGAGTTTAGTAAAACAAGAAAAAGAACTATAAAGAAAAAGATTATATAATAAAAAGTTCTCCATCCTTAATAGCCGGATGGAAGTTAAAATAAAGAGAATTATTTATTTTTGAATCGTCTATTCTCTCCATATGATTTTCATCAATTTGTTATATATCTTAGTATAAAATTATTTTTAAAAATATATTTAAATGAAAAAATTTGAATTTTTTTTAATAAATTAAGTCATAATAAATAATATTATGAAATTTTAAAGGTGCTTCAATATTAAATCTTTTTTTCATAAATGCATGAATCTTATGACTCAATAGAAAATATATATAAAAAAAAAAGATTAAAATTTTTAAAAATGAGATAGTAAGAGTTGATTTTTAATATGTGTGTACATTTATAGCTTTTCATCATGCAAAATCATTTAAAAATTGCTAACTTTATTTGAATTTTTACATTTTTGTAAAATCATTTTAAAGCATTGTGAAATGATTCAATCTTTTGGGGAACATACTTGATATGAAGGAAAACCTTGAAGTCAGAAAACATATTTGGTTAGCACAACCTCCGATGCGATTGTTATCTGACAAAAGGTCCGACACCTTCTTTGAATGATGGATTTGTACCTCGGATACGATAAGCGTTGCTGTTGATGAGTGACCATAAAAGGAAGACAATGTCTTTGTGAACTTCGAGTTTGCTATGACTATAAGGAGTGCTCTGCTCAGCTTGACTTCATGGGAGAAGGCATAAGGAAGGATGAGAATGTGGGTCAGAAATTGTGAGCAAGCACGGAGAAGTGAGTTTGAAAGCGAAAGAGATGTATGCGAGAATGGTAATTTTGAAACAATTTTTTTTTTTCATTTTTCATTCATGTCCAAGATGATAATCATATAAATTAAGTGAGAGAGTATGAATTTCGGGTATTCTTATTATATATTATCATAGATTATAGGTATTATTATCGACACGAGAAACAGAATATAAATAGAGATTAATAGAGAAGCAACAAAAGTAATTGGCAGAAATAACTATTACTACAAAATGATGATATTGATATTGCTACATTAATTTGTAGTAAAAATAAAGAAAATGGTGCGTTTCTCTTGTAAGTTACAATTGAATCACATGCTTTACCGCGACGAGATATTGCAATGGCATATCTTGATTCTTGACTTCATGCATGCAACTTCTAAAAGCATGGTCCAATCACACAGAAGGGAAAAACTTGTTTAGATTAAAAGGTAGAGAGTAAAACTCCTCACTCCTGGTATCTGTCTTGAACGATCGGAATCTGTCCCACCACTGCATGCCTCTGTCTTTACGAGTTTGGTTATCTTTCTTGTGCAATGTAACGTCCAATATCAGTGCCAATGAACCAGCAACAAAGGCTTCAGATGCAAATGGCACATTGATCATGTCATTGAACTATCAAAGTGAAATCACACGATTAGTTTTGTATGTAACAAATAAATTACTATGTGCTTTAAACGACTATTCATCCTAGAGTGAAATTGTAGCAATTATAGTGTTCAATTATTGCATCTCATGTTTAATAAAGAAATTGACTAGACTATATAAATCAAACTAAAGATAGTGCATCAAAATTAGAGAGAATGAAGGAGTAAAGGTTGATACCCATCTTGCATGCGTGTGTACAGGACCGTAGCCTTTAAATGCTGTGTACTCATTGAAGTATTGTGGTATAGAAAAGCCCATAAAAATAGAGAAGCCTAAGATGAATTTGGTTCTAAAGCTGTTTAAATTGCAAAATTGAAGAAAACCGAGACCTGCTGAGCCTGTGTTATGGGAACAAAAAAAGAGAGTTAATGTTAATCAAACTAAATTAACTTTTATAATACAAGTCCAGCTTCTTTAAGTTGATAATATACACATTACATACCCACATAGGCAAAGAAAAGACAATATAAAGCTGCAACTATTGGAGCTGGAATTGAAGCAAAAACAGCTCCAAATTTTCCTGCACATAGTAGTTCATAATAATTAATTAGTTTAAAGTTCAAAAGGTAACAAATCACATCAAACTTTCCAGCCTTAAAAACTTACCAAGAATTGAGAAAAATATCATGAATCCAGCTGATATTTGAACCACTCTTCGACTACCCACACGTGTCAAAGCTAAGAGTCCTGCATTCTCTCTGGGAAAAAGGCCAATGGTGTTATACAATTTTCCTACTAGGAAAATAATATGTCAAATAACATGGAACTGTTGAGTTAGAATCTTACACAGAAACTGATGATCCATTCCCTGTTCCAAAGATCCCAGACAACAAAATTCCCACTCCCTGAAGCATCAGAAAAATAACTATTATTAACTATCATAAAAGAGAAGTGTTATTGACACTTTTTTAACACTTGTTAATACTTTCTCTACTATTGGTTGAAAATAAAAAATTTGGTGAACCTTACCACTAAGCTAGGAGAGGAACTCATTAGATGAGATGAAAGACAAACAAAATTTATGATTTTCAATAAATTTTAACTAATAAAAAAAAATATTTGAGAGAGTATCGTTAACACCCTTGTGACAAAAACTTAGAAAATGCAAATATCAAAGAGTCTGAATCAATAAGAGGAAAAACAAACAATAAAGATAAGACCAAAAAGTGAAAAAAACTGAGTAGAAGAATTTTTTTTTTCTGATTATTAGAATCTGTTTACCTGCCAACCTACACCACGGCTAAGAACTGAAGGTGGAATTGGTGTTGCACTTGCGTACCTTGACACAGCAACGAAAGCACCTGTTGACTGTTGAGCAAGTATATTTTATTGTATGCAAGAGAAAAGTACTAAATTAGTATGCAACAAATCACACACAGTAGAAATGAGAAAAGACACGGCTATTAAAATGCATATGGCAGCATAGAAGTAAACAAACCTCTACTAGAGCAACAAATGAAGCAGCCATCATAGCAAAAGCTTCTCCAGCCTCAAATGTAGGAGCTCCCCATTGAAAAGGATATGGGATTCTTATCCTACATAATGTATTTTGACAAATGGAAACCCCATTATTCAATATCATTTGAGAGAGTCCAAACAAGTAGTTACTAGTTACATGTACACTGCTGTTATTGGAAAAATCACAAGATCATTACCAAGGAGCACCCCCTATAATTCCAGCCCGATCGGTTCTGCAAGTAATTTGGGTTTTAGGTGCCGAATTTCTGTAAGCTCCACCAACTGTAAGAAGATGAGCATAAATCCACACAATTGCCACTGAGAATATAACTGCAAAGCGATCAAAGATAGGCTTTTCTCCTTTCATCATATGAGGAATGTACTGCAAAAAAATGTCACCACTTAAAACAAGAGAGAAGAAAGGAAAACAAAGAAAACAAATGCCACTAACCTAAGAAAAATAGCTTTTAATGATGTAATTAACATAAAAATGAACTGGCTTCAAGAAAATTATAAATTTATTAATCACCTGTGAAAATACCACTAGGATGATGATTTCTGGCAGCCCAATCTCCACACATTTTGCAAGCTGGAATTCAAAAGTCAGAATCAAAAAAGTGGGAATCACACGTTATAATAAATAAATAAAATATATGAAGGAAACAAGAACTAGTCCTTGTTGCAAGTATATGTACCACAGGAAAACCCAGTTCATACAGCCCAAAGCCTGACAGAGCAACCAAGGGAACAGCAGAGAGAGGACTTAAGAACCTGAACAAAAAATACAGAAAATTACCCATGAATATGACTTTAAGAGGCTAAAACAAATTAATAACTTCCAGAATGAATAAAATTGTATCAATCAGTATAACTACAAATGAGGTCACTATGATACTTTTGAATAAAAAAGAAAAACTGAAAAACATTATTACTAATTGACATGAGGATTATTATCTCTAATTGAGAGTTAACGAAAAAATGTGGGTATTAGATCTATCCCAAAAAAAAAAAAATCTGTTAACATCTGAGAGTAAAAGAATTGTATGCATAAGTGTGAAGGAGAAAAAAGTTTAATTAGTATAGATAGGGCAGGTTCAAGAACCTCACTACATTGCGCCAAAGGCCACTGAAGCCTAAAACAATTTGGAGGGTTGAGGCAACAATTAGGGCACCCTGTGTTCCGCGCATTATCCTCTCGAATTTCTGCATATTTGTTACAAACCAGGTAAACAAGGATGATGAAATAACAAAAAGCAGAAAAAGCGTGGAATTCAACCAGGTTTGTGATGAACCAACCAACCTCTTGAGGATTCACAATGTCACTGTAGCGACCAGCCAGAATGATTGAAATGGTTGTTGGCACAAAGGTGTAGGATCCCCCAATAACTGCAGGCAAACGAGTCCCAAAGAATGTTTGGAAAAATGTGTTTATGCCAGCCACAAACAGTAGAGTCTGAATCACTTTTGCTTTCTCTTCCTATGGAACCAAAATTGTAACCAATATTTTTTATCAGTCGAAATTACAGAGATGACAACATGGTTAAACTTAGGATCTCGTGTATACCCTAATCCCACTAGGCTGATCCTAGTGGTCAAATTGTAACAACTCAAAATGCAGCTAAACAAAGTTGCTTAGAACCTGAGACAACTAGTGAAGGGTGATATAAGGTACAAGGCAGAGTGTGGAATTGAGGGAGACAAAGAAGATGAGAATTGTTTCTGTTTTATGGATTTTAAAACATGTTATGGAAACAATTTTCAAAACTAAGTAAATTTTAGATGAGAAATTAATGGATAAATGTAGATTTGTTTTAGAAAACAAAAACTGAGAAGAGAATGAAACAGGTTCTTACATTTCCTCCTCCCATCTGGGGAACAAGAGAGCTTGGAATTAGAACAGTTGTGCCAAGCATCACCAGGTAATGTTGGAAACCAAGTAGGATTGCCTCCGCTTCATTGACATAAAAATTCTAAAACTCAATCACCATGTTGAATATGAATGTACATTCATAAAATTAAGAATGTAAACCAGAATTTTTTTTTTTTAAAACATACTCCAAACTAGAGGGGCTAGCTATATGCCAAAAGAGCAAAATGCAGCCAAAAAATGGTTCCAATGAAGCAGTAAACTTACGCCAAGGAGGAGGACTTGTAATGCAGAAAGAAACATTTGGTAATTGATCTTTCACTGGATGTGGTTGATGCTCATCTTGCTTAGGTTGTGGTGCAGCTCCTCCACCTGCCATTCTTCTAATCCTACTACAATGAACTTAATCAACTTTAATGCACTACACCAACCAAAACTTAAACTTCTCTATAGTGCAAAAACCAAAGCTTCTACTTCAACTTCTCAACCCCAGAAGAAACTAAGCAACACTGACACAAATGTGGAATGATCAATCAGTGGCAATTGGAGGAAAAAGAAGAGAAGAAACTGAAGGCACCCTCTAAGAAACAACAACACTTTCTTCCTTCATACTAGGACAATGAACAGAACTAGTCCAAGGGAGACAACTTGTCAGCAACGTAATGCAATGCAGCTAATGGTGGAAGATTTCTTAGCCCAAGACCCACATGGAGGCCAAGAAAACATGAAAAGTGAGTGTGAAGATGTGGAACAAAAGGAAAAGGAGGGAGCCAGCTCTTCCTAAAGTAAGAGAGAAAACAAAAATACAAAAGAATCTACGAGTTCCATATTGCTTTACAATATTGTAATCCAATATTTAATGTTGTTAACACCATTGCTTTTCTTTTTATTCAACACGGAAAGATAAAGTTTGCATAAAAGCAACTTGACCTTCACCTTTATTTACCTCAAATTTAGTATTTAACTATTACTAATATTTGTTAAAATAATCAGAAACAATGAAGCTTACAAGAAGCACTGAGAACCCTCTCTTTCAACCCCATTTCAGTTTAACATTTTAGCACAGCACAAAGTTTACCATTTTTAACCTTTTACTTGTACTGAGTACTATTGACCACAAATGATCAAAAGCACTTATTTTTTACCTTGACTCAGAGCCTGAAATTAACTGAAACTAGCAGCATGGTTTTTAACTATGACTTTTACTTTGACCAAAAAAAGCAAAATTAACAAGGATTGTGTTATATGGTCGCAAACTTGCAGGTTTTGTGAGATCGTTTAGTCCATTTTTGAAATGATAACAATTCATACAACAACTTTATTCAATACAATACAATTTTGTTTATCTTTTATCTATCTTCCATCACATTATTTATTACATTTTTAATTTTTTAATGAACTGTTATATATTTTTTTTCGGCAAATTATCAAACCTTTACATAAGTCTCTCTCTCGTACACTTGTGTCTCAGTGTCTACTTGCCTGACCGTTTTGCATGACCCTTGAACACTGACCTGTCTCTCTTGGACTAGTCCTTTGTAATCTGAAAAACCCCTCTCTTTAAGCAGTGAAAAGTGTCACTCTACCAAACTGCATGTGCATGTACATGGCCAAAGCACCATGGAAATTGTAGGTTTTTATATATCGGAATTATAAAAAACCAAATCCAATGGAAGTGATTTATTTTATAAAAGTAAATCAGTTAATCAATTCATTTTTATAAAGTATCAGATCAATTTTTTAAAAATATTAATCAAATTTTTCAAAATTTGATTAATTTGTGCCATGCAACTATTCACCTTTTATCTATATATAATTTTTTTTTTTCAGAAAACAAACTAATTCATTTTGTAAAATTGAATCGTCCTAATCAAACCAAATGTATAATGTGAATTAGTTAAATAGTTTTTTAAAAAAATGAATAAAATCTTTTAATATGGATGGATTCAGTTTGAATTTTTTTGCACATAAAAGAAATTGAAAACAAGACTTGACCTTTCACATGTATGTAAATGTAATGTCAATATTGTAGATCATCAATTTCATCTTCAAACTATTACTCTCTCTTCCAAATGATCCTATGATAATAAAAGAAAATTAAATAATTTCAAGTATCGAATAATCATTACCGTAAGCTTTTAAATTGAGCTATTGTATTCAAATTCAATTAATAATTTAAATATTCTTTTAAAACATTCAAGATCCTACTTTTCTTTTGGTACAATATTTGAGATATTATCAAACATATTTCTAGTAGTTTTAAGATTACTCAAGTAATTTTCTTTTTATTTTAAAGATTACTTAATAGAGACGCTTCTCAACGAAAATTCTACTGTAGTTAATAATGTCCAAGTGTTGGTGAAGAGAACTTAGATGCAGTGATTTAAAATCCGGACCGAACCGGCCGGTCGGACCAGTTGGACCAGGAATCGGTGGTCCAACCGGTCCGAATCTTAAGTTAGATCGGTTATGCAGTTGACCCGTTTTAAAACCGGATTGAACCGGTCAATTTTCCGGTTCAACCGGTGAACCGGTGGGTCAAACGTTCAACCACTTTTTTTTTTTTTTTAAGGGACTATAAACCACAAAAATAATAATGAAAATTGAATCTCTTAATGAAAAGCAAGAAGTCTTATTAAATATAACAATGACTACTTGTTCTAATATATTTATTTGCAATATATACAACTTAAATAACTTTTATAGTATATTATTAATTTTAAATTATATATTTAATAATACAATATCTATGTAAATATTACATATATTATTTTGTGATATTAATTGCAAGCATATTATATATGTACATATTATTTATATTTTTAATTTGTATTAATATACCGTTTAACATGTAATTTTTTTATGTATTTTTTTACAAAATAAAAATAAAAATAATTCTTAGATGCCTTGTTAAGTGTTTTACTTTAAGAAATATTAAAATTAACAGGAGATTTGGAATATAATACAAGATCTTGCACCACAGCAAAGTTTAATGTGATTATAATCAAAATTACAATGTAATAATGTTTAATATAATTTTTATAAAATGTTCAGCACTCAATCTTTTTCAAAGTATTTGTGCTTGGTAACATTTAAATAATGATAATGGTATAAGTGTATAACAGGCACTGACATCTATTCAAAAGGCATATAGATTAAAACAAATAAGATGAATATAAATAATGCAACAAGTCCCATTTACTAAAGGAAAATATTTTTGACCGTCTTTGAAAATATATTTTTAAAATCTGGTATCTAAATCGATTATATTAAGAAAATAATAAAGTTGGTTTTTGTTATCCTTTCCTTTAACATGAAGTAACAGGGTGGTTCTTTCTTGTATTTACACTTTCTTCCACCAGACAATTTGCATGTAGAATAACAATGTAATAATTGATGCCACTAAAGTCACAATCTTTTTCTATATATGGACGGAATGGTTCAAGAAGAGCTTCTAGTATAGAAAGAGGAAATCAAGAGAAATTAAGTTGTGTGTAGATTAATCTAATCATATTTGAGATATTCTTTTTTTAAACAAAATAATTGTTCATCATAAGTATTTAAATAATTGTTTATATTATGTGAATTAAGTTTAAAATATTTTTTTCCTAACTTCCTAGATACAATCCTGTGATGTGAAATCCACAAGAAAATGGTGCACACGTTAAGAGTGGCAGAGTGGGATTGGGATCTATAAGCCTCGTGCCATTAAATTAATCTTGTATATTAAAATAATAAATAATAAATCAAAAGAATGTTTTAAAGTTAAAGATTGATGAATTGTTACCTGCAAAGAAAAAAAATTGTTGCTTAATTAGTTTCTCTATTGATTCGTTATTTCCATGTAACTTCCATTTAGAGACATCGAATGGATTCATTCTGAACCCCACATTGAATCTTCCAAAGTTTTCTTGAACTGTGCCCAAAAGAGAAAAGCAAATGCCATTAGTCATATCTAACAATGTTTTTTCCCTGATCATAATCAATATATACTAAGTAGTCTAGTATGATTTTTTTTAAATATAATAGTAATTAATAAAATTGATTTATATATGTTAGAAACATATATTTTGAGAGTTTAACTATTAAAAATAAAAAAATATTTTTTTATAGAATAATTATAAAAAGTGTTTATAAGCTGAATCTAAACAAGTTTGATTAATGTATATTAGTATGATTTACTATGGTGACAATTTTTTTATTTTTTATATTTATATTTATCGTGTACTAAATTAGAGACTAATACTCATCCCTGTACCATGACTGACTCATAAGTAAATGTTGTAGTAATATAAACAAAACTATTTCACCTGTAACCAAATGAATAAGTAAATCAATCAGTTACTTACAACTTACAAGTGAAATATGAATACGTAAATCGATTCACCAGAAAAAATGAAATCTATAAAACAATAGCACTAAATGTTATGTTTATTTAATATAATATATTTATTACATTTATGAAATATAATATTTACTTATTTATTAGATGCGTGATTTTTCTTATTAGTAAAATTTATTAGAGAAAATTATAAGTAATTATTAAAAAAAAATTAATACCGAAAATGCATGACAAAAAGTTATTATTATTTATAAAAAATAATTTATTAGAAATATTTTTAAATAGGAAAATTTAAATGTATATTAATTTAAATTAGTTATAGCTAGATATGTAGACAATATAGCAAATAAATTAACGCTGACTCATAAAAGTTATTGATATTGTATTTTTGAGTTAAGTAAATTCATTCCCCATACCACAAGTTTAATAAAAGACTTCTATAAGTTGGTGATGGAAAAATATTGATAATTAAGAGTTAGAAAACATTCCAACGTGAACAATAATACAAATAATATAGTTTATCAAATGAATTGTTTATAATACACATTCAAAATTTCAAACAACAAATGAGAGGTGAAAAAATATCCAAGAGAGAAAGAAATATTATCTCTTTTATAAATAACACTATTATTGACATCAATAATTACTTTGGATATTTCAAGAAATGCCTAATTAACATTAGATATTCTGTAATCGATAAAATTGATCATGTGGTTGTGAACAATATATTCTAATTTTTATTGTAATTTTGTTTTAAATGTATGGATATAAAAATATGCAAGTACTTTTGTTAATATACTTCTTATTGTAATACTTAACTTTATTAATAAAAATATTATTAACATGACAGTGAAATCAATAAAATAATTCAACAACTTGAATAAGATCGATGAGTTATCAATAAAATTACTTACATTTCATATGTACAATTAATTATTTGTTTTGTTACTAACTTTTAAGTATATAATTGTGTTAAATATTTAAAGATAAATAATATTGTCTAATCAAATAAAAATTGTTTTTAATGGATAATATACATATATGTTATATATACAAAATATTTTATAGGCCTTAACAAGTTTAATGTTTGTAGAATGTTTTTCACTCTTAATAAATATATTATAACGTTCAAAAAATATATATTTGATAAGTTCTCTAATAATTTGTGAATGTTATAAATGTTATATATCTTTATTTTCTATTTAATTTGTAAATATGCATAGATTGGTACAATATGTTTAAACTAGTGCAATGTCTAAAAAAGAAAAGTCAATCACAAAAAAAATTATCAGTGTATACAATAGCGTGTTCAGAATCAAAGTTCTCTACTTCATTCCCTTATCAAGCCTTAAGCATTATGAAGCTTTGAAGCATCTAAATAAGTATTGTAAATGACCATATTGTGAAGATCAAAAATCACACTTCAAACAAATAAATATTAAGGTCCTCACCTACAAAAATATCTCTGAA